GGGGGGGTGCTAGTGAAGTATGAAGCCCTCTGTATCGCGAATGTCAACGGGGGGGTGGTGCTAGTGGAGTGCACGCGTCTCAGACAAGCCTAGTTTGTTTACAAATGACTGGCGTTCTGGCTGACCTGTGCTTGGCATGGCAACAGCCTCGTGTGTGAAGCTGCGGATGCTCTGAAACTTTAATGTGCTGGGAGAGGTGAGGCGAGAGGATGTGCCGGAGTGACCTAGAAAAGCCTGGCGGCGAAGGGAGGGGTGAACCGCGGGGGGATCAGCGGGAGGGAGGGGGGGAGAACGGTTGGCACTCTGAGCATCATCCTCCCCCAGTCCACATCTGTAGCTAAGCCCTGACAGTGTGAGCTTGTTTTCCTATCGTTATCATTGGAGTTGAGTCATAGCTTTAAGGGATATGATACTGCAGGCTTGATGAGGCTTTCAGAATGATTTGAAAGCGCACATCGCAAATGAGAGCGAAACAGGCTTCAGAGGAATGGAGATTTATGGTGACCGATTAAAAGAAAAAAGGAGGAGGGTGTGGCTTTTACACTTCGCTGAATTCATCTCAAATTGGGACAAGGAGAACTGTCCCAGCTGGGAAGAACACTGCCGGTGCAGATATCTTTAAAACACACATTTTCAGGCATGCACAACAAATAGATTGGGTGTTTTTAAAGGAAACACTGCATGGCGAACTAACCATAGTGCTACTGGAAAGCCTCATAAACACTGTTGTTCATGTTTTTTCAGGTGCTCACCTATGTCATCGTCAGTTCTGTCCATGGGGTCTTTCTCCAGACAGTCCCGCACGATGTCCCTGCTCATGAGGGGGTCCGACGCTCGCTCGATGTCCTCCTCATCGTCGTCTTCCTCGGAGTCCACAGCGGTCTCCGGCAGGCCGCTGAGGTCCATGTCGCCTTGCTCGTTTTCTGTGGCCTATAGAAACAGCAAACACAAAAGAAAAGAGTCAGACATCTGAGATCGAAGTTCATCAAGGTGAGGGATTAGTTTTTTTCCATTCAACATCAGCCGTTGGGAAAACTACAGTCAATACACATATCAGCAAAGATCAGACGTCAATCTGTAGCCACGGCTTGGACTGAGTCACTGAAGCACGTACAAACAATGCTCAGACAGACAATGCTTCAGATTGTCATTTAGACAACTGAAAAGTGAATATAACAATGGGAGTAGCTGACTAAGCCATTGAGCCAACTCGTGTTCATTTCAGAGAAAACACATTAGTAAACAGCCAAAAACAACAACTCAGTTTTAGAGCGACAAAGAAACTGAGATCTCATATGCAAACACACTCACACGCACATTGCTGAAATCATTATACAGTACAAACATCTGCTGTAACACTTCCAACAAATAGCATACATCAAAAAAGCCCCTCTGTAAATCTGTGGTGCAGATTTGACCCAGTTATTGACATGTATTAGACGTGTTCAGCACTACAGTAAGAGAGAGAGACAGGCACACCACAAAGTGTGCTATGCATAGTAACAAGCTCATTATCTCCCAACGTTCCTCTCCTCTCGCTCCCCTCAGCAACCTCCACATCGAAGCCACATCCTGTTCTTTGAAAGCACAAGATGAAATGTGCGCGGAAGAAATGAAATGACTTGTGCAGGACTGACACTAACCGAGTCCCTCTGCAATCATCAAAGGAACGATTTCTTTAAATGACAGAAGGGCCGTATCGCCTGGTCCCCGCAACACGGCATTAACCAAAGCGGTTGAAGAAAGTAACATGACAACCTTCTTACCTGAATATAAGGCCCGACGTCAAGCTTCTTAACAGAAAGAGAAGAAAATGTTGCCTTTGCAAACTGTCCGCAAAATCCCAGAGCCAGACGCATCTTCACCTCGCAGTCCGTCAGCCTGCTTTTAATATTTCAGAGAGCGCAGAGTCCAGGTCCTTCACAGAAACCCCTACATGGTTTCCCCTCAAACGCCATGTGCAAAAGGCTCATCAATGATTCACGCCAGTGTCTGAGTGGACATTTGGGCGTCACCGGTGCACACGCCCTGATGGGTGGAGCCAATGGTCACGGAATAAGTAAGTATACAATACAAGCATCTTATCTCAGAATATAAGAAGTGGATGCAGTGAAATAGTTTTAAAATGGCTGGGATAAACACTGACTTCAAAGAGGTGAACATGGAGGGACCTCTTACATACATTTGAATAGTATTCCCTGAGCACCCTTTGTCCCAAAACTACAGAGAGTTACATATTCATGTCCCATTTTCCACAGACGGACGGAGGACAGGTTCACCACACTTGTTATCTGCAGCCAGTTTAATAGGAAACTGAAATGAGGTTTTGTATTTTCCTTCTAAACAGTATCATCTATAACACGCGGGCTGCATTTAAATACAGTTGTTGTATCTGTGCACTGGCTCGTTCTCGTGTCATATATGCATCAAAAATCCATGAATGTGCAGTAAGCATTACAAGACAGTGTGCAAGTCAGGTGTTGTTAATATTTCATCAGGGCTATTCTTGGATCAATGCTTACAAAGTTCTTCTGAAGGACCAACTTCATGATTTATTCAGATGCAAAACAGAACGCCATGTTGTCAGTGACGAGAGAGAATTGTGGAGATTAGAGCAGCTGTGGGGACTGGCGGTTAAACTATGTAATGCTACTCGTTAATAATCTGCATCACCTATATGCACACTAACTGGAAAATTCAAACATAACCGCGTCATTATTTGTGCCGTCAACTCCCTGTGGTCTCAAGTGAAAAGACAAGGGCTCAGAAAACACCTCCAGTGAAGACCACACACATTGCTGTTCTTCTACTAGGACACACACACATAGTTTGAAACCCTGCAGGGTGCTAAGCTAACTTAAGCTAATGTGTAAAGTTGCCTAAAGCAAACAGGGAGTCATGTGGGGACCCCAGGACAGTAAGAGTAACGCAAATCCTTTTCTACATTCTTAATTAACTTAACTCTTAACTTAACTCCTAATCAACTAACCCCTTGTCCTTATTCCTCCTAGCTTAGCACTTTCTACTTTTGTTGTTATTTTGCTTTACTTGCTTGTAAGCGCTTTGAGCACCAGGAAAAGTGCTTTTTAAATGTAACGTATTATTATTAATGTTTAGGCATTTTAATTTTCATTACAGAAGTAGTGCTCCAGTAACGGCAAGCAAGATCAATCAGAGAGGGCAGGAGGTGATTCAAAGGAGAGGGAAATGGAAACATTGTGTATCATAGCCCACAGACACAGTAATACAAAACAAAGTGCCATGATCGTAAGCACAAATAAACTGCTTTTTTAAATGACTATCTTTAAAAAGATTGTTTGATTTAATTACCAGCCAAAAAGAAATCTTTAAGATGAAAAGACCAAGTTATACTGCAAATCCTCAAATGTGGGATTATCACGCCAGCAAACGTTATGCGTCCTTTTGAAACACCTCTGAAATCACTCAAACCATTCAAAGACACTTGCATACCGATCCTTTAACAGGTACAACAGTTGAAGCCAAAGCACACAGTAAGCCACCAGTGAGCCGCGCTGAGGAGTTTGATCACATGTGACAAGAGAAGGAGCGATAATGACATTGAGATTGACACACAAGTTAAGGCAAGGTGTTCGAGCAAGGTGTCGGGGTATACATAGCACTGAGAGAGAGAGAGAGCAGGTGCTGCTACAGGTAGATTCAAGGCTGTTAGAGTGGGGGTCCAGCGAAGGAGGGTTGAGAGACTAGGAAGGAAACCAGAGAAAGTGAAATCAAGTGACACACTGAGCAGATGGCTGCGAGAGCGGGATCACAGAGCGAGGACAGAAGAGCCTGGCTGACACACACACACACACACACACACACACACACACACACACACACACACACACACACACACACACACACACACACACACACACACACACACACACACACACACCAAAGTGACTCTGACTGCCGCCCCTGAGCACAGTCACGCAAATAGGAGCACAGCAGGTGACGGCGTGACGAGCCAATCGAGTGCGCACTGTGTGTTAAGAGGATTAGTCGCAGGGTTTGGGGCACGTTCGCAGTCACGAGGTGTGTGTATGTTCACTCGGTCTTATTAACCACCTGAGGAAAGGGTAACGTTGCTCAAATATGTGTACATCTTCGTATTTATTCACTTAAACTCTATTTATTAAAAGCTCCTTAGAACACAAGATGGTGTGTCTCATCTCCCTGGGAGGGCTGTCTTTCTGCTTTGAGATGCTGAGGGCAGAGCTGGAGGCCGGATGGAGGCGGGACCACCCGTTGAGAAGTGACAACGTCCCATTAGTGTCTCAGAGAGTCTGCCAAGCGTTTACTTTCTTTCCGAATGAAACTAACCTGTGTTCCCAGAGGTATATTTGTCATTTCAGCAAGGAGAGTCTCACCATCTTGGAATAATAAGAGCTGGGCTTTTAGTTCAACCTTCTTACTTAATTTATCCACAAAGATAAGGTTAGAAACATCAAGTGTTTTTATTTGATGTCCTTGGTAACGTGGCTTAGTTTAATCTAGGAAGGACGCTAATAAAAAACATCCCATTGTCAAAGATGTGGCCCCAAATCAATCCATTATTTTTGTTTGTTTCAATAATTTCAGGAATATGATTTATTTTTCTTTGTTGCTGAGAGTTGAACGAGTACATTGAAACCACTTATATCTGTGTAAATATATATAATACATATTTTATTATAGAAATCTAAAGCTAGCAGCTCGTTAGCTTAGCTTAGCATTAGCACAAAGACTGGAAAAGGCTCAGTGCAATGCTAACAAAATGTCCTATTAGCAGCACTAAAGCTAATTTATAAGCATGCTATATTTAGTCGGTTTAATTTGTAATGTTAAATGTTGATGTATCTCAGATAACCTAAGCTAAGCCAAACCGTTGTTGACAGAGGATTCATTTTTACTCTACAGACATGAGTCAAATCAAACGTACTTCCAGCTAGATAAGTATGGAAATAAAATCAGCCAGAGAACGACGACCTTAGCCAGTTTATTCTCACACAAACTAACACACCTACTGCACTATTTATCCATGGGGGGGGTCCAACCTGGGGATCCAGCCCCAATGGGGGGGCGTCCTTACCTGATAAATGTCTGACAGGCTGCTGCTTCCAGAGTCGCTGGTGATACTACATCCTGAGTGGCTGGAGGACACGCGGGTCACCTGTGGGTGCAAGCCGTCGGCCAGGTGAAGTCTGCTGAAGTCTGCGGGGAGCTGCACGTACACACACACACACACATACACACACACACACACACACACACACACGCACACACAACATACACACAGATGGTCAGTATCAGCCAGCTCTGCAGCCACCGCTGGGCACTCACGCTGGACGCTAGCCAAGTAGAGACACACTCAGCGACCTTCATTTTGTCTGAAGATACATAGGTACTACAAGGAAGTTATTATATTTCCCTTCGTTTATTACTCATTTGAAAGTGGACACAGAGTCTTTTTGATGAACTAAACAGTGTTTTTTTAAAAGATTATATTGTATTTGTTTGCCTTGTACACAGACTCCTACTAATATTGTCCCTTTAATTCTAATTAGAAAATACACTCATATTAGAGAAGATTGTCTTTACTCCACAGCTGTGATAATGCAATGTTAACGGAACAAAAGAATAATAATTAGTCCCACTGCAAGAGCTCAACTCTGCATATCATTTATTATCAAAGCAACGAAAAGAAGATGTTAATTAAATCATCCGACTTACTAACAATCAGAAGCTTTTATCAAGTTTAACACAAAATAGGAGCGAAAACAAAATGTAAAGGCGTGAGAGATCATCTAACATGTCTCCTTAACCCGTAGATGCATAAGTGGGTCTTTTTTGACCGGGTGAGGTGGAGTATCTTTGTAATTACATTTTTTTATCATTTCATATTCCAGCTATTCCTCAAAAAACATGTTTTGGATTTCATGCCATTCCAATTTTTAAAATTTAAATTTTATGAAATTGTAGTTTTTGTATTACTACCCCAAGCTTCCATAACTGGGTCAAAAATGACCCGCATGCATTTTCTATGGAATTTTGTTTTTTCAAAATGTAAAAGAAAACGTCTAAAATTATAAATATTGAAAAATTAAATATAAAATATTTCTAGTGTGAACCAAAATATAATACTAAATATTATACAAGTGATTTTTCTTAACCAAAATGACAAAAATGGCATAAAAACACATATTATTCTAATACGGGTCCTTTTTGAACCACTTATGGAAGAGTGTAGGGTCCAGTCACTCGGGCATCTAAGGGTTAACTTAAGTCTTATTGTCGAAGTGAGATAATAACAATTCAAATGAAATATTGCAGCTCCTAATACTTGTGTAATCACTGGAACTTCTTAATATGAAGATATAAACCAAAAGGAAGCGCTGCCTACATCAAGGATGAAATCCCCTCATTAAAGAAACTCTCATAACCTAAATAAGCACGAGGCAGTAATGGGGGAAGCCCCTCTGAGTTATTCATAGTGTATACAGTAACAGAAAGCTGTGCTGTAATTAGCCACAGTGTACATGAGCCAACCCACTTTCTCTATGGAGATGACCCTAAAATGTCAAATAGATCAGAAAGAAACCCCCTGCTGGTGGTTTACGATGATTAGAAGAATGTAAACAACCATGCTTGTGGGTTATTTGAAGTACTGTATTTATATGTAGAGTAATAAAGGCCAACTATATTTTTTTTATAAGAGTATTTTCCACTTTTTCTGTTTTATATAATTAAATGTTGGCGTTATGACTGTTTAAAACAAGTTCTATGAGGACATTTTTAACTATTTCCTGACACATTATCGACAAAGTGGCTATCACTTAACTGAGAACAAAATCCCCAAAATATAACAGTTATATTTAGTTAGTCAAATCAACATTTTAAAGAGGTCATAGGTACTTTTCCCACCTTCATTTAAATGATTAAATTAACCCTCCTGTTGTCTTCGGGTCAAATCTGACCGATTTACTACTTTGACAAATTTCCCGCTCTTATCTGCCCATCCCCCCCACGGATCACACCTGGCACATGCAATACATGTTCAGTGTCTCCGCGAACACCAAAGTAGGGGGGGGGAACGAAGACAATAGAAGGGTTAAATCATACCTATAATGATGTTATTATTATGACTTAATCTCAGTAATAAACTGTCTAAAGTCTCATATTCATTATAATAAATGTGGTATCTGTAAATATTATGGTTAACATGTCATTTAAATGAATTAAATATGTGGTTTTATGTGCAGAACATAGTGTTGTCAAATGAAGCCCATGACATCTGACTGGAAAGTCAGAGGGTGAATTATGAATTTAATCAAACTGTGTCAACCGGCTCATAGAGCCTATATATGTGAATATTTCATGGCTAAATGTTTTATTTACAAATATATATTTGATACTCAGCAGGGATACGGCCCAGAGCCACTTTACACTCGACTTCTGGCTGCGGCGGATCATCAATATTAAATTCTTTACACCCTAAAAGTCAAATGTGGCTGATTTAACTGGGTTGCTCCATTCATCATATGATATCAGAGAGTGAGCTCAACAGTATATTTCCAGGCTGTTTGATTTCAGATGTGGATCGGATGAAAGGATTTTGACTTATAGATTTGAAATGTTTCTTCTAGATAGCAAAAACTTAACCCAGCTCTGATAGTAGATAAAAGCCAGACTACAAATGTCATTCGAAAATACTGAACTCTTCTCCGATAAATCCTGATTTGACACTGGAAAGATTGTGCAGTCAGGCTTTTAAAATGTCCTACCGGAGCCGCACAAGGTAATATTTTCTCTGAAGAGAAGTCATCTGGGTGTCAGTGTCATCTGCCTCCAAATGCACTTACGCTGTAAATAACAACACTGCCTCAGATATTCCGTTTTTTGGGGAAAACAGACTCAACACCGGCGACACTATGAAGTCTCACTTGGATGACAAATGGAACAGACCGGAGAGAAAACACACCTCGGGAAGTTCATTTGCAAGTCAATGGGTTTGAGGCATGATCTGCTCTTGAGCGAGAGAACGTCACAGCTTCTGAAGCGCTCGTCGGTTGAATTAAAAGAGTTTTGTAAAAAAGGGGGGGGAAAGTGTTTTTGCTGGGAGAGATATCAAAGAGAAAGTAGAAACAGAAATCTCAATATTCATGATCTTCCTTTTGAGAGAGAAAAGTGAAGAGGTGTAGTGGCACTGAATTGATTTGGAAGACGGTGTGTGACGAGATATATGGAGAGCTTTCTGAAGAACACTCACAAAGTGTCACTGACAGAGAGTGAGAGGCAGCTCCTGCAGCCCTGAGGTGTGATGTGACTTCACTGTGTCAAAGATTGCGATCACTTTTAATTATCTGCCTGGCTGCACTAACCAAAATGGTCGACCGGAGGGCCAGCCAGTCACTCCCCGCCCCCCCCTCCTCGTCGTCTGAACGCCTCCAGCTGACTTCCCTGTTATTATTACCGGCCGGGCATTATTGTGTGAGGGTGACCAATCTCTTTGTCTGTGTGTAACTGCGGTGATAAAGCCTCATCACATTTCCTTCTGATGACTTCCGGGAGCAAAAGAGATTATGGTGCGGTTTATCACGGTCTGTTTGAGCTACGACTCAACATTTATATGTATTACCATGTATTATGATCAGGAAGCCCGCTGTGGCTTCGAGGCTTCGACTTTATTGGGAGAGGGACTACTAAAGCATTATTGGGTTTGTTGACAATAACACAAGTATTGAATAGCTGCTTTATCCCTTGTGGATAAAGAAGAATAAACACTACCCTACTGCACAATGAAAAAACAAACCTCAACGTCAATAAAATAGCTAATTTATTAACATATTTTAAACAATTTAGGTGCACTTTCAATGATTATAAGTGCACTGTGGTTTAAATGAATTAAACATTCTCATTATTGAGAGACGTGGTCATGTTGATTGTGAAGCCATATCGACTGGTCTAAATGTCAATAATAATATTCCCACTGGTTTCCACAAGCAGCCAGAAAGGTCCCACCTCCTCCAAACAAATGAACGACAAACCCCACCCCCTTTAAGAGGGAGAGATAACGGGAGGGCAGGGAAGCAGGATAAAGGGAGAGGATAATAAACACCTAATCCTTTCTCTCCACTCATTTAGGTCATCTGTCTGTCGGCCAATAAGCCAGGGTGCATTCAGTCTATAAGCATGTGGGAACAATGACCTCCACTGCCAATGGCATGCAAGAGACATGGGCAAAGGAGGATGCCAGTACAATAATAATGACACACAGTCATGGCTATTTTCCAATCTGCAGCACAAGGACACGCGTGTTCAGTGCGTCATTAACCCCGATCCAACTGGAGAGCACGCTTTTGTTTAAATCTATGAGTGATACGCTCACAATCAACCATAGCATTAACATGTGATCATGCTCCTACCTTGTCAGCCTTTCTGCACAGCTATGCTCCGAAATCAGTGCTCTCTGGCGAACGAACGAAGCGAGCTCTGCAGAACCGCGAGCCGAAGTACGTACAATCAGCTGTCACCGGAGGATTAGGAAGCGCTCTAATGCTCGAGCCACAACACTCCCCTCTGCCTACATGTGAGCAGATGTGGCGCTCCTTTAAATGACGCTGTAGACCTAATGACCTAGATTGCTGGGTGGAAGCCCTTGGTGGCTCTCAATCTCTTTACTGGCTTCATATGCTGGGGGGGGAATGTGCTGCTGCTGCTGCACTACATGTCCAATATTGGGGTTGGACAAGCTCAGACAAGCAACCATGGATGGTGTGAAAAAAACATTAAGAGGTTTGAAAAACACCTTTGCACTGAAGGGAGTAACAATTCAATTGTTGGTTTACAAGGTTTGAATTATTGAGCAAAACATAATACCACAATGATTTCCAGAATCAAGCGCCTGACACTCTGCTGCTACTTGTGGGCTCAACTCTATCAACTTGTTAAGAAATGGAGATCTGCCAATGTTGGAAGGCTGAAAGATAGCAGAAACATCCCAGAATCTCCCATGTCCACGGTGGCAGCTTCTCTCTTTCCTGAGCCCGGCGGATCAAGAGATTAAAACCCCTTTTGGCGGGGGTGTCCGATGAAATGGGCCTGATATGCTCTCTGGGCTTTCCCCTCCAGTGGCAGCTCCACCAGTCAGGGCCACAGAAACCAGACACGAGAGGATGATTACCTACGATGGGGTATGCAGTCCACAAAATACTATCTTGCTAT